ATACGCAGAAATCCATTAAAAAAATTGAAAATTAGGGGGGTCGACAGTTTTTAATAACAATATAGCAATTCTAAGTTAGAACTCTTAAAAGGTACATACCTATCTGTGTTTATTAAATCAATTAAATCCACTAAGAGCTTTTTACAGTTTTTTCTTCGATCACTTTCAAACTCATTTATAAACTATGTTCACGTTACATGTCAGACACTGTGTTTAGTTTAGTTTAAAAGTGTAAATTCGAATACACTAAAACTTATATGACACAACAAGCACTGATAGCAGGGTAGTACTGGACTGGACAGTAAGACTGATACTAGATGGTTACACTACAGAGAAGTTGAAAACGTAGTTTGTAAACCAACCTACCCGGCCCGCCTAGCATACACCAGGCGGTACGCGCCAATATTTACCATCCCTTTTAAACCAACATGCTTAAAAAGTCGTGCCATGCCGCACTTTTTATTCATGTCATGTCGGGACAGTACAATTGATTTGGGAAGCACAGGGTTAAGAACTGCAGCAAGTATAATTAAACCGTACCGGACTGACCGGACTTGTCCAGGCACTAAGTGACCGATGAAATATTGATAAATATGAACTGAACTGAACCGGAGGGTAACACAGCAGTTCATCTGGCAAGGACGGGTTGGGACACCTTCTCCAGGTGCTAATGTGAATACAACAGCTTGTGCTACAGGGACAGGGTTCAGCCACAGAATTAAAAAGGGAGTTTTCAAAAAAAATTATCAATTTTCAACAACGGATTCATTTTTTTCATTATCTCTCTTGAAAATTGTCAAATTCTGACAAATTCCTTCATTGTATCTGCAGCATAAATCCACACGTCACATTAATCCGTGGAAGATGTGAATCAGACATGCCATTCTATTAAAAGAGGATCAGTTGAAATTACGTCAAAAGTCCCGATATATATTCAGAAAATCAATGAATCCATTTTGAGAATGGAGATACTTGTACACAAGGTACTAATGCAAGGAAAGTTTTTTTAGAGGTGTACGCATTTTTTGTACTGCAGTGTACTGTTTTTGGGTGGAAGAGTAAACAAAAGACGAATTTCACAGCCTGACATGGAATCCATTTTCACAAAAATAATCTATGAAATATTCTGGTCATAGGAAATTACTATGTGAATTTTCAAAATTATCGAAATTAAATGCTTTTTTCCTCCTCGGATACTGGAAGAACACTGATGCATCTATTCTTACTTACAAATCCACCCAGAGAGAACTAGTTTCAATATGTACGCAGAGTATACGCGACCGCAATTAACTTTCCTTGCATTAGTACCTTGCTTGTACAGATATCACTATAGTTCATCTCGCCTTACTCGGTTGCATAAAACAAGTTGAATCAACCACATACTGGGTACAGTAGACCGGCTGGTACTGGTTTGGATCATGAAACTTTTCAACTTTTGTGACATAAATTATGTTTCTAATTGAGACAGAAAATAAAGGAACTTAATTCAATAATGTAAAGTACATCCTCTCTTCACATCCTCCCCCCCCCCCACATTAATATTTTCCCTCTATTAAGAAAACTTGAGAGAATTGCATCCAAATAAAAAAATTTTAACAAAAAACATTTAAAATAAGTCTGGCTTACATTCGTTTTTCTTTCAAGGCTTAAAAAAAATTTGCAGTGGTTTTGGTTTATATTATTTTAATATTATATTGATTCCTCAAAATTTTTCTCGTGTGTTTTTCGCTGCAAAAATTCTTATTTTTTATGCTTGTGATTTATTACAATTTGATTTGATCAATTTTCTGGGGAATTGAATTATTTAATTTGAAAATGCAAAGTATAGGATTATTCTGGTCCTCAGGGACGTATGTGAGCGAAAAGATTGACTTATGATTCTCATCCCTAAAGTTGGGATTTTATTTTTGAGTTTGTGAACCGTCAGTTCCAATTGGATTTCGTAGATTTTCAAAATTTTCAAAAAAAGAATTTAGTTGAAGGCAAATTTTTGACGTTTATTGGATACAAACAAAAAAACAGAAAAACAGACAAGCAAAGTATGTACATAGATATATACTTTGCTTGTCTGTCTGTTTTTTTGTCATGCTGTCCGTGTGTGTCCAATAAACGTCAAAACGTCTAAACTGATCGGACCCAAATTTTTTGTGGGACCTTGCGTGACCAAAGGGAAGGCATATGGATGTTCGAATTTTAAAAAAATTGCCTTCAGCAAAATTCGATTTAAATTTTTTTAAACCTACAATTTTTTTTTATAAAATCCGCGAAAGTTTTTTTTTGTTGTTTTACAATGTATACAAAGAGAAATTATCACAGTTGAAATAGAAGTAGCGCGAAGCGCCGTAAAAGCATATAGTACTAAATAAACTTTAAGAGTTTTTTTACAAAAAAGGGAAATAATCCTTTTTAACGGAACATAAATATCTTTTCTATTAAGTAAACAAAAATCTAAAATAAACACTGATTAAAATGTTCAGATTTAAATCAGAATAAAACTTATTAATTTCTACATGACTTATTCTTTAAAACCACATGATGCACATTAAATAACTGCATACATACTTCATACTTCAATCGAGAGTTTTATCATTGGCCATTTGTTTACTATTTTTTGATATTAATACAAAAATAATGATAATTCTAAAAATATAAATTTATGTTTAGTACTATAAAAAGAACTAACAACTAGTCTCAAGATCTAATTTAACCTTAATCACAAAATATGCATGATCCGCGCTGATAAAACACGAACAGTCGTACTGTCCAGTCAGGCTATCCAGTGTAGAGTCAACTCAACACGTTTTATGCAACAAATGCAGCCTGGCAAGATTACTGTGACTTTCGAATCTCTACATCTTTGCAACCTGATGGTTGTAAAGCTGTAAACCTAATTGATATTTTAAACCGACTAGTTTATCCTGCAGAATTTATGACATTGATAATATAAAGCAAAGGTCCACGATATCATGGTTCAAGATTTAAATATGGAGAATGAGAAGACTAATCAGTTTCTTAAACACTATTTTGTACAAGAGGTTTCGTGATTCTATATCAGCGAGGTTGCGAGGTTGCAGAGAAGATATTTCAAGGGGGAAAATTTTATTGGGGGATGGGGTGTGGGGGGGGGGCTCATGCGATCTTGTTGAAAAATAATCGAACTACATTTTCAACCAGAAGTTACGAATTTTCTTTTTATGACGACCTAGAACTCATTCCATGGGCGACTTGAGGGGAAGGGGGAGGGGGAATAGAAAAATTCCTAAATACACCCCCACTGACTCAGAGGAAACTCAAAAGGGATGATAAAGAATTTTTCGATTTTTGATCTTAATAATTATCATTGATGGCAGCTTAAACTGGAAGGTCTCTGAGCTGAAATATCCTTAATCCCGATCTGTTAATTAATCTGGAGATAAATAACAAAAGGAGAACACGCATTATTTAATCTGGAGATCAAGAAAAAGAGAAGATCAAGTATTAATCCAGATATCAATCCACCATTAAAAAGTTCCCAGCTCTGATTACCTAATAAAATTATCACGGGGTTAATATATGCATTTAAAATCCTATACAAATACATTATTTGTCCCCCTCAAGGGCGTAGACGGAAATAAATCTAGGGGGGGCTGCCTAGGAGCTCCTAGGAGGGGGGGGGGGGTCAAAATTTGAACTGTAAATTCAAAACATTTGGCTTCTTGGATACTTTAAAATTACACAATACACTATACAGTCCTATTACCTAAAAAGTACTAATTTAACTCTCCCTCTAACAAAAAAACAGCAAACTAATTTTTTATGTTCTTCACTCTTCAGTTTCAGATTTAAAAAGAGTGATTGCTTTGAAATCCGGGGGGGCACTGCCCCTTGTCCCCCCCCCCTTGTATACGCTCTAGTGCCCCCCCTCCCCTTAGTCTAAAGAGGTATATTTCTCAATGCCAGATATTATAAACATTACAATCTGAAGAGTTTATCAAATATATTTTATTCTACCAATCATGAATACAGAAGGATACTAAGTATACAATATTCAATATATATTTTGAAGAGTTTATCAAATATATTTTCGTTTATTTTCTTTAATACATAGAAACCCAGGAAAAACAAATAAAGAACAAAATAAAACTTCTGTACTTAAAAGTACACAGTATCTATATAATTATAAAGAGAAGTATAATCTCTGTTTGTCTATTTAGATGTCCAATCAGAACTCAGGAACCCCTGGACCGATTGGCCGCAAAAGAATTAAGCCAGCTTTGTCACAAACTAATCCCTATAATTTTACAACCAAAAGTTTAGGTGTGTGGCAAATACTCAATTTCTTTTGATAGAAGAACTGAGGAGAACCAGGCGTTGAGTGGGTTGACTTTTACTGGAATAACTGTAGATAAAGCTAGGTTTTCAAGATAGTTTAGCATAAAAGTGATCAACTAATTGTATTTAAAGCGTTATTTTAAGTTTTCATAAACTAAATTAATCATCTGAGTTTTTTAAGTGTAAATTCACTGTAAATTTGAAAGAAAAAAGTAACTGGAGGAACGGAGTTGATAACATGCTGATTCTTTCAAAATAGAGAAAAGTCGCATGACAAATCTCTTCCTTAATCAAAATCAAATATACAATATTTTTTTGAAAATAAGAACAATCTGGAGTAGAAAACCTATGAATGTTGTTCAATGTTCATTTTGAAACAATTTGATGTAAAAAATATCTTTAAACTTAATGATTATGTTTATAATCTACTTATGAGCCTTAAAGAGACTATACACGTAATTTTAACCGACCCTTAAAAAAAGAGTGGGATGTTTGCTTCACAACGGTACCCTTTAAACAATCACTTGGACGATTTTCAGGTTATGAATCAGACGTGCAGCAACCCTGTAATTTCAGTTCAAAAGGACTTCTGTTACGCGAGCTACGCTGCGTTCATAAAGTCTATGTGATACCCATGCGAATCTCTGAGTTCTCCCTGAGGATCTGTACAGAACGTATTGTAAAGACCTAGTTTTAGAAGCTGTTTACAGTCCGACTACGCATGCGCAAGTTTTCTGCGTAGGAGCGAGCAGATTCTACTTCAGTATATAATTGTATTTCATGTAATGTTCGTCGATTATTAAAACCGTGTGAAAATTCTAGGACCACTGCGGTAATTATGATTATATTTATATGAATATTGTTTATTTATGTTCGGTTATGGTTGATATTGTATGATGTAATGTATGGGTTCCTTGCCACAGTTTTTTAATGCCTGAGTGGATTTATTGCTGTATTTGTATGATTTATCACTCAATGCTTTTTCTGTTGGCTTATAAAAGATTATTTAGATTGAAGGCTTAGAGAAATAAACGTTCGGAACCTTATTATCATCCTTTTGTTATGGAGAGCGTTGAGAGAAGGAAGCCTTACAATCCTATCCAGAGAAATACCACTCGGTACTTATAGATTTCATTAGGTCTTTAGGGAATTCGCTAAGTAGCGAAACAACTTCTTACATACCATCTCAGTTCTTCCAAAAAATTACTCGATGTAATAATTTGCATCAGCAGAGTCTAGTTATTTGCTGAAAACAAAAACAAAAACAAAAAACTAAACGACAAATTTAGACATATTCCCTTTTAAAAATTAACAAACCTAAGTAAACAAGCGAAAGTTAAAAAAAGACCAAGATAGTAAAACTCATTCAGTAAACACAGCTCGAGAGAAAGAATGGGATAAACCAAACTTTTAATCTAATTAACCCTATCCCCGCTGGGGTACTTGAAAACCAGGANACTAGATTCACAGAATATCAGAATATTAGATTACTAGATTCACAGAATATCAGAATATTAGATTACTAGATTCACAGAATATCAGAATATTAGATTACAAGATTCACAACGGTACCCTTTAAACCTTTAAATGATTAATGGATAACACAGCTATCCATATCCTAATTTAAGGAAACGCTGAACGTTGAATAATAACAGTATTACTTCATATAAATATATTAGTAAGCAAAGTTTCATATATTCAAAAATATGACCATCCTTTTTTTCGGGAGTTACAGAATATATATATATATATTTTTCATTTGAATTTTCAAAACCCGCGTCGAACATGGATTATTCGGACATTATGCTTGAAGATAGTCATATGATGTACACTCTATACATTGCACTATGTACACTCTATACATTGCACTATGTACACTCTATACATTGCACTATGTACACTCCACTTTCCCGGTACAGTTAACAAACAATTTTTAGGGAAATAAATACAAATTTTTACCCGTCTATGATCTGACAAAGGGTACTTGTGAATCAGACATATAGATTGAGAGGGACTTAAATTACGCATTATACATTCGCTTCAAACTGGACGCAAAAATATTAAAATATAACAAATACTAGAAATTCCTACCTCATCTTCGGACTCCATTTTGTTTCTTTTTTCTAAACCCGGGAACTTTTCTGCAAAACAAACCGAAACCTAGATACATTTCTTTTAATATATTTAAGAATTGTTTTGTTTTTAACATAGGTGATTTTAATTGTATTAGACTTTGCCCGGAAACCTTAATTAAGTTTGGTTGTATGTTTATACCCAATAAACGGAAAAACGGCTGAACCAATCCGGCCCACATTTTTTTTAAATAATCTTAAATTGAAGGTTTAATGTATTTGAATATTTCAATTTTGAAAGAAAAAAATCCCCCCCCGCCATTATCATCCTACACTTCGTTTTAAAAATGTGGAAAACAATTAGTTAATGGGTGTTAGCTGTTAATGTTTGTATATATACAATTCCATTCATTTTGGATGAGCTGAGCCTGGAAGATAGGTTTCAATCTGTTAAGAGCATTTTATCAAATAATTTTACTAAGTGTTTTGCACTAATACAGAAACAGGGATACAGAATACAGGATGGGAGATACAGAACAGAGACAATATATAATACAGTACTCGGGATACAGATTTACATATCATGTATGAGGTCTAGAACGGAAATTGATACAGTAATTGGGATACAGAGTTACATATCAGGTCTAGAATGGGTATTGATACAGTAATTGGGATACATATTTATACATCAGGTCTAGAACGGATATTGATACAGTAATTGGGATACAGATTTATACATCAGGTCTAGAACGGATATTGATACAGTAATTGGGATACATATTTATACATCAGGTCTAGAACGGATATTGATACAGTAATTGGGCAGGTCTAGAACGGATATTGATACAGTAATTGGGATACAGATTTATATACCAGGTCTAGAACGGATATTGATAAGGTAATTGGGATACAGAGTTACATATAAGGTCTAAAACAGATATTGCTACAGTAATTGGGATACAGATTTGTATAAAAAATGAAAATGTTTGGGATACAGATTTGTATAAAAAATGAAAATGTTTCGGGATACAGATTTGTATAAAAAACTAAAATGTTTGGTAATACAGATTTTTATAAAAAATGAAAATGTTTGTGATACAGATTTGTATAAAAAATGAAAATGTTTGGGGATACAGATTTGTATAAAAAATTAAAATGCTTGGGGATTCAGATTTGTATAAAAAATGAAAATGTTTGGGGATACAGATTTGTATAAAAAATGAAAATGTTTGGGGATTCAGATTTGTATAAAAAATGAAAATGTTTCAGGATACAGATTTGTATAAAAATGAAAATGTTTGGGATACAGATTTGTATAAAAATGAAAATGTTTGGGGATACAGATTTGTAAAAAAAAATAAAAATGTTTGTGATACAGATTTGTATTAAAAAATGAAAATGTCTGGGATACAGATTTATATAAAAATGAAAATGTTTGTGATACAAATTTGTATAAAAATGAAAATGTTTGTGGATACAGATTTGTATAAAAATGAAAATGTTTGGGGATACAGATTTACATAAACACGGAAAATAAGGTTTACCATGAAACGGCGGGAGAAACTGTAACTTTAAAAAATAATATAAACCGGTTTCATCAGCTAGTTTTTTTAAAATTTTATAACAATGTATTTCTGTATAAAGAAGTAACGAACATTTTATGCATTTTTTGCAGTAAAAGGTTTGCAAAGTTTGGAAATAAAATGCAAATAAAATGCACCTTAATTTGAAGAAATGTGAAAACATTAGATAAAATCTTTAGTTTCCAAAACTAGAGAGATAAAAATCTGCAGAATAAAGAGTTTAACCAGTTAGGACCAAAACCATCAACCGGGGGAAACATTTTAAGGTTTGTAGATATTATGTTCGTCTGTCTGTTTAATTTTCAGTTGGTCCAGGATATGATTTATTCTGATAAAAATATTAAACATTATTTTGTTTTATTTTATTTAAACGTAAACCAAGATATGCAACAAAAATAGAAGAAAGTCGTTAAAAGTCAAAAATATACCATAAAGAGAAACACAATAAGTAAGTCTGGCATCAGAAGACAAATTCCAATGTTTTCATTTTCTAAAGTTCAACTCCTTATTTCAAAAGTTCAACTCCTTATTTCAAAAGTTCAACTCCTTATTTCAAAAGTTCAACTCCTTATTTCAAAAGTTCAACTCCTTTTTTCAAAAGTTTCTATATTGACTTAACTCCTAAATTCCTACTCCTAAAGCCAGGTGAAAAGCAAATTAAAGCTGGTTCGCATATGGTGAGAAAATTTGCAAATGTTTTTTCTTTTTTAAATAATTTGGATTTTATTTCAGTGTTCTTGATTTTAGCAAACGGATCACTTCAAAAGTCTGTTTAAAGTTCGAACAAGTGAAACCGTAAAACATGAAAATAAAAATGTTTCTTAACGAAATTTCATTTAAATGAAAATCCAAGAATTCACATTTTTAGAGCGGAAAATATGTTGACAGTAAAATTGCAATAAAAGAGTTGATTACTTTGACGTTATTGCAAAAAACTTGAGATAAAAAATACATTTGCAAAGTATTACAATTTCTTCAGTAAACATTAAAGTTTTTTTTTAACAACTTTACTATTTATACAAATTCATCGAAATTGGAAATAAAGTCATGATGTTAGGTACTTTCCCAAAGGATTTTTCCCAAGTAACAACTTCCCTAAGGGTATTTCCCTAAGTGGCAACTTCCTAAATGTGCAATTTCCCAAGCGGCAACTTGCCAAGTCTGTCCTAACCGCAGCGTTCGGCCCCCAGCCTGTTCTAGCCGCTGGGCTCAGCCCCTTAGCCGCAGCACTCGGCCCCTCCCATTGCAGTCTGCGGTTTGAAAAGTTCGAACTTTTGAAAGTCCAAAACCTACAAAGATAGCCCATCAATAGCCATACCAGGTCCCACATACACACATATAAATTAAAAATTAGATTAGTAAGGTTCGAATAGAAGTAGTTGTATACACAGTCTCTACACGTTGGATCATATATCCAAACAAACAGAACACCAGAATCTTGACATTTAGAGCTCACCCCCTCCTTTCATTTCACCGACCTCGGGGGGGGGGGGGGGGAGGAGGGGGTATTGAGGTGAAGCTGAAAGGAAGGATGGATTGCCTAGATTTAGGAAAGAAATGAGACACCAACGGAACAGATTTTCTCGCGGAAAGACAATTGACGGAGTAGAAGATGATCTATACTGTAAATAGGCAGATTATAAATATTAAACTATAAATGCGTAAATGTGATTATTTTAATAAATAAATATTTGTAGGAAGGTATTTCGGAAATTCGGAGAATAAACGTAGAGTAAACTTAAATTCTTTTTTCCAAAACATGTTTTTTTCTTTTTAGATTATCAAAACAAGAATGAATAAGAATATTCGACAGAAATTTGAGAATGGGGAAATTGTGAAAAATTGGAGGATTATGAAAATATGTATGGATGAGAGGATTAGGAACACATATATGGATAAGATGATTAGGAAAACATTTATGGATGGGAGGATTAGGAAAATATGTATGGATGGGAGGATTAGGAAAATATGTATGGATGAGAGGATTAGGAAAACATTATGGATGGGAGGATTAGGAAAATATACGGATGAGAGGATTAGGAAAACATTATGGATGAGAGGATTAGGAAAATATGTATGGATGAGAGGATTAGGAAAACATGTATGGATGGGAGGATTAGGAAAACATTATGGATGGGAGGATTAGGAAAATATGTATGGATGAGAGGATTAGGAAAACATGTATGGATGGGAGGATTAGGAAAACATTATGGATGGGAGGATTGGGAAAATATGTATGGATGAGAGGATTAGGAAAATATGTATGGATGATTAGGAAAATATGTATGGATGAGAGGATTAGGAAAATATGTATGGATGGGAGGATTAGGAAAATATGTATGGATGAGAGGATTAGGAAAATATGTATGGATGGGAGAATTAGGAAAACATGCTTGGATGGGAGGATTAAGATAATATGTATTCAGTAAGAATAGGAAAACTAAAACCTGTATTCAGTGGGATTAGGAAAACTAAAACCAGTATGCAGTGGGATTATGAAAACTAAAACCCGGTTTTCAGTAAGATTAGGAAAACTAAAACTGGTATTCTGTGGGATTAGGAAAACTAAAACCGGTATTCAGTGGGTATAGGAAACCTAAGACCAGTATTCAGTGGGTATAGGAAAATTAAAACCGGTATTCAGTGGGAATAGGAAAATTAAAACTGGTATTCAGTGGGATTAGGAAAACTAAAACTGGTATTCAGTGGGATTAGGAAAACTAAAACCGGTATTCTGTGGGATTAGGAAAACTAAAACCGGTATTCAGTTGGAAAAGGAAAACTAAAACCGGTATTCAGTTGGAAAAGGAAAACTAAAACCGGTATTCAGTGGGATTAGGAAAACTAAAACCGGTATTCAGTTGGAAAAGGAAAACTAAAACCGGTATTCAGTGGGATTAGGAAAACTAAGTTTATGGGAAAAATATTTCACATTTTTTTTTACTTTCGATAGATAGAAATATGGTGGGATTAAGAATAAAGTAAAATTTGGGAATAAAAATACAATTATAAAGCGGGATTAAAAAATTATATAAAGTGGGATTAGGAAAACATGTGAACCGTGGGGTTAACACATGTAATCAGTAGGATTAGGAAAATGTGAATGAGAACAAGGAGTTAGGATAGAATGGAGTTAATAAAAAAGAGATGAACCTAGTTACCTCTGCAATTTATTCTAATTGTATCAATTTATAAATGTTCTTTAAGGTTTCCTGGAATACGAATTCAGTTTATAAAAAGAATTTTCTTTTCTGATAATCAAGATTTATGGTTCTAGATCCAGAATATCCAGAATATCTAGAATATCTGAAGGAGAAAGCTCCAACTGGTTTATTTATCAATTATTAAACAGTTTTGATTCAGTCAAGAATTCAATATATTTTGAAATTAAGCCAGAGCACGATTATAGCTTTTCCACAGCCATCAATTCAGTGGTCCAGGGGGGGGGTTGATATATTTATAATACCCCCCCCTCCTACAAGGGGTGGGGGGGGGGGCTGTCGGA